AACAATAGCTAACTTTCCTACATTCATGGTTCTCACATTCAATGTCCCATTCACCAGTGTCTGCTTACAACTGTTCCTCTTCTTTTGTATTTCCATACTTGAAAACTCAACCTCCTTTGCTGTTTCTGTTATCTAAATGTGTTCTGTTGTACATAGGGTTTTCAGAGGCCTGCTATTTCAGAAGTGGACATATTCTAACTAGATTATTTTAATTTAAAATGTTTGTTAAAACAATTCCCAAGACTTTCTTCCATTTGGAAAATATATATCAAAAGGAAATTTAATTACAGACTACTGAATAAATTAACTAAATACCAAAAAAGGCAATAATGAGAGGACAAAGGAACAAACACAACCACAGAAACACAGAAATTAAAACTACTAAATAGCAGAATTAAATCCTTCTTTATTAGCATTTACATTATACATAAATGAATTAAATTCTTGCACTAAACATCAGAGATTGGCAGACTGGATTTTATTTTTTTAAAACAGAAGATTCAACTATATATGTTCCTGGTAAGAGAGTCACTTTACATAAAAGAACACAGAGGCTAAAAGTGAAAGGAGAAAAAAGATAATCCATGCAAATAGCAACCAAAGGACAGTTGGGGAGTGACTATATTATATATTACTGTCAGACATATAGACTTTAAGTCAAGAAAAGTTAGAAAATTATATAGTGATAAAACATCTCATACTGTAATAATACTTATAAATGTATATGCAGCTAATAACAAAGCCTTTAAATTAATGAAACAAACACCAGCAGAATCACAACTACATTCTACTATACTTTTCACTATGAGTTGTACTTGATTCAACGGCACATAACAACAACACAGTTCTACAGCATTTAGATTTTTTACAGTTAAAGATATTTCAATATTATACTTTCATTATCTGTGTTTCATTGATTATGCAAAGGCATTTGACTGTGTGGATCATAACAAACTGTGGCTGACTCTCAGAAGAATGGGGATCCCAGAACACTTGATAGTGCTAATGCAAAACCTAACTGCCGGAAGTCCAGGCTGGGTTTAGAAGGGATCGTGGTACTAGGGATATTGTTGCTGATGTTAGATGGATCTTAGCAGAAAGCAGAGAATACCAGAAGAATGTCTATCTGTGTTTCATTGATTATGCAAAGGCATTTGATTGTGTGGATCATAACAAACTGTGGCTGACTCT